AGCTGGCTTCATGGGTCACCTATTGGACAGGGTTTGGGACTTCCTGATCTTCTGTGTCAAGCATCCCTCTAAGAGAATGTCATGCAATGGCGTAGACTCATCACTCAGCTTCTCATCTGCTCTCAGGCAAATATGACTATAGCTATAAATGGAAATTGTAGAGTTTATTCCTTTTATTCTTTTCTTGTACTAAATCAAGCAAATAACTGGAAACTTGCTCTTTCTTTCTTTCCTGTTCTCTGAAGAGCACCTAAGATTATTATGAGGATTGAGATCTCTGTATCGACACTGGCGATGTCCAACTCGGTAGCTTCTAGCCACACTGAGCAATTAAAATGTGGGTACAGTCTGAACTGAGAGGTGCTGAAAGTGTAATTATACAACATCTTGTGAAGGTATAGTATAAAAAAAAAGTGCAAATTATTTCATTAATGATTTTTATACTGATTATATGCTCAAATTATAACCCTTTGGATATACTGGGTTATATAAAACATATTAACATTAATTTCAACTACTTATTTTTACCTTTTAAAATGTGGCTACTGGAAAATTAAAATGAACAAATGTGGCTCATATTTGTGACTCACATTTTATTTCCAAGGGACAGCACTCACTGGTCCAGTTAGCTGGGGGCTCTGGTCAAAGCCAGGATTTTGAGTAAGACTAGAGGATACGCCGACATGAATGAGTAACTTCACTTTCCCTTTTCATTTTCATCATTGGAGAAGGAAATGGCAACCCACTCCAGGGTTCTTGCCTGGAGAATCCCAGGGACAGCAGAGCCTGGTGGGCTGCTGTCTATCTGGTCGCACAGAGTCGGACACGACTGAAGTGACTTAGTAGCAGCAGCAGAGGATACACCAGAAGCAAATACAAGGAAGCAGGTGTAAACTACAATGTGTTAGGTAAGGCAATGGAGCCTCAAGCATGGCAGCTGATCTCCTGAACCATGAAGCTAGACATACTAGGGTTGTCTAGATTCTGCCACTTACTCAGTCAAGTAACTTAACTTCTCTGAATTTCAGTTTTCATGGCAACCCACTCCAGTATCCTTGCCTGGAGAATCCCAGGGACAGAGGAGCCTGGTGGGCTGCCATTATGGGGTCGCACAAAGTCAAACACAACTGAAGCGACTTAGCAGCAGCAGCAGCATCTGTAAAATGACTTGCTGGTTCTTAACTCAAAGTGCTTTGGGGAGAATTAGTGAAGACAATGACTATAAAAGCCTGAATACTATTCCCAGCTATTAATTAGTACTCAAGAAATATTAATTCTCCTTAAATAAGAAGAAATTCTATTACTAGATGGTATCGGATACTCACTGTGAAACCTTCATTCTGGAGGGTCCTTAACATTTAGATGGATTCTCCTCTATCTGGAATGGTTTGTGTATTATCCTATTCAAAATATGAGGTTTTTTAATATGGGGTTAAGTTCCCTTTTCAGTGCGTCCTCAGCTGGAAATCCACAGCTGGCTATGAACCCCTCCCTACCACCTCCTACTGTGGTACTTAAGGTCCTCGCAGTGAAAAACTGGGTTACACAGGGGATTGCTCCTGGACAAAGACCCTAGTATATTATGTTTACAAGACCTGACAGTTTATGTGGCACAGACTGGATGGACTCTGACAGCAGCATTAGACGGTGTCCCCCTGAATGAGGGAAATCAATCTCTTCACTATCAAATACAGTACTCAAGGTGAGCAAAGTCAGGGTTGGATGGAAAATGGAAAGGAAATGTTAAGAGTCTAGCTTTTAAGGTTTATGGATGAGCCCCAAAAGAATAGTTCTAGTTCTTCTGTTCCTAAAAGCACAGAACACCTAGTTAAGATTTTCCTAAAGAGAAACTATAGCTCTCACAAGTTTACACAGAGGCAAGAATGAGATAGTAGGGCAAAAGACAGTTGAAAAAACAAATTACAAACAAACAAACAGAAAAAGGTTTTGCCTGGCTCTACTTTGAAAGACCCTAAGAGTGTCCAATCATACTAGCATATCTCCAGGTGCAAAATCTCTGAGATTCCCAAACACTGACACTGTGATAAAACCTGTTAACTGTTTCTTAGCCATTAAAACAAACAAACAAAAAAAAAACTTGGTCTTCCCTGAAAGTAGTATACATTGCAATATCTAAACATTCAAGCACAAAGAGATCATCAGATACTGTCACCTATATATAGCATCACCATGGAAACCAGAGCTACAAAATGCTGACAACTCAAATACCACAAGTAGTGCTGATATTGACAATATGATTATCTGACAAGGTAAGCAACTCCTAGTAAATTTCTAAATAAAGTAAAAGTTTACCTTGATTTAAATGCTGATTACATTCCAGGAAAATTCTGTGTGTATGAATTAAAAACATGCAAATAATACATTGTGTTTATTTGTAAGGTACAGTTAAGTTCCAGGTCATATAAGTTTTTCAACCATATTGATATCCAGTAAGACATTCAGAAGGTGGGGTGATTTTTTTATTGAGAAGGAATTGTCCTAGGCATTACAAGACATTACAACATCTCATCCATATCTCTGCTAAGAAAAATGCCAGTAATAATCTCTGTCCCAATTATTGGGACAATAGAGACACCTTATAAATTTCCAAAACACTTTAGGACAATAATTCTTAACCTTGGCTGCACACAGAATTACTGTAAGAGCTTTAACTTAAATACTGACACTTGGGCAGCATCTGCAGAGCCTCTGATGTGTTAATAGTTGGCCAGGACTAATTCCTGTTCATTAGGGGTTTTAAAAACTGTTCAGTTGATTTTATGCAGTAGCCAAGGCTGAGAACCATGCCGTAAGGGAGCTTCTGCCCTTTTGAGCATCATTGCCTTAGTTGAGTCAGATTACCAGAACATTGACCTGACAGGTTTTCTTTCTGCCTCATGGAGCTATTTCCCGTCAAATAGAGCTCAAGGGCCTCCTAACCTAGAACAACCCCTCTAATTATAAAATGAGATGGCAGGTATGGGTCTAGGCTTGAAAAGTCAAAGACTTACTTTCAAGAAATCCCAAGAGTTGGGTAAATGATCAATCACTTACTTTTGAATTTAGAATGAACAGAACACAGTTTAACTAAATAAAAAGTCAACCAGTGACTGATAATTTAGGATATAAACTTGTAGTATATTGTGACCAAGCACCTTCTAGAACTCCTAGTCATCCCTTGTTAGGCTTTACTTAGGCCTTTGTAAGAAAAATTAATTTATAGTCATTCTTCAGTTGTCTACTGAACCCTTAAGTTAGGAATGGCAGATACATTTATCTCCAGTGCTAACTGTAAACATATCAGAGTTTTCTGCCTGGAGAGGACTTTGAAGCCTGATCTAGGTAAATTGAAGAGTGCTGTGATGGGTTGGTTAGTGATACCTGTCATGAGCACAGGATGGGGAGAGGAAAGAAAGTGCCCAATCCTCCCGTAAGCCCTAGGGGAACAGGCATATTTCTCAAAATTAACAGGTGACTTTTTCAGTCCTGGTCAGCTTTTGGAAACTGATTGGATTTTATTATGATCGTATTGTTATCATCCAGTGAGTTTCCTTTTACTGAGATATAGTTATGCACTGCCCATTTATTACCTCATTAATCCTTACAACAACTCTACAAGCTAGGCATTTTCATCACAATCTGAGATCCCACAGCTCATGGCAGGAACTAATCATCTAACCCGTGGTTGCCTAATTCTCAAGTCCCACAGTACAATACACAATCTGGAGCGAAATGTGGCCTCAGACCATCCTCCAAAGCTCTAATGTTCTTTATCCTGCATCCACATCCCTAGGATTCTTGCTCAAATGATACAAGATTCAACAAATACCAAATAATAATACACTACTTATTTCTCAGTATTTTCCCATTATTTCCTGGTATTGCATCCTGTCCATGTACTTGAACAAAAAACTTAAAAACATATAGCAGGGATGCTTGTGTTAATAAACTTTTCTTTGCTTTGTGTTTTTCGTTTGTCGAAAACATTTTAAAGATTTTCATTTTTCTGCAAGTCCAGTGTAATAGAGGGAATCCAGCTCATTGCCATAATTCATCACCTAAAAGGGTATTGGCACATGATAGACATTTAATAACAATTTTAAATGAATTAATCAATGCAGTTGACATTTTTGTGCAAGAGCAAATAATTAATTTTGATGAAATTAAAATGTTTAGTTTTGATGACATGCAATTTATCAATTTTTCCTTTTTTTTTCAGTTGAATTTTTAAATTTTTTTTTTAAGTTTTATTTGTTTATTTAGTTTTTGGTCTCACAGCTTGTGGGATCTTAGTTCCCCCACCAGGGATAGAACCAGAAAACTCAGCAGTGAGAATACTGAGCCCTAACCTCTGAACTGCCAGAGAATTTCCCTTTCATGGTTTATTTTTTGTGTGCTAAATCGAAGAAATTTTGGCCTTACCTAATTTTGGTCATAAAATTTCTCTATGCTTTCTTCTAGAAGTTGTATAGTATAATAGAAGTTTTATAGTATTAGCTTTTACATTTAGGTCTATGATCCATTTAATTGACATTGTTTTTTATTATGAAGATTTGTGCAGAGGTTAGGGTCAGCTCTCTAAATGCATCTTCAGCTGCTCCGCAGGGAAGAAGCAGGTGAAACAGTTTATAAGAGTATGGTTACAGAGACTTTCATGGCGGTGCAGTGGTTTAGACTAGCAGCCCTTTCCAACTCAGGGCGTGTGGATTGAATTTTTGGTGGAGTAGCTGTGATTCCACATGCCTCCTGGCCATAAAACCAAAACCTAAAGCAGAAGCAATACTGTTGCAAAAATAAAGACTCTAAAAAAAAAAAAGGTTGCTTTAAAACGGGGGTGGGTGGGGGAGTATGGATATAACACTTCCAGTCTAAAATATGGTCTAAAGGTTGTTGTTCCAGGATAATCTCTCATGGCAATGTCATAGTTATCATTTCAGTCTTTCCCCTAAGAAGGGGTGCTCCCCTCCTTTTCCTCCAACTCTCTCCCCTCTCTTCTACAGTCAAGAAACATAAAACTCTACTGTCTCTGTTTCAGAAGAACAACGTCAAAAACCAGAAAAGGAACTATGAGTCAATACTTGCCACCCTTCATCTGCTTAACCAGAGAACAGCCCTGAGCAGCAGTCTCAAGCGGCTTCACAGGCGGGGGTGGCGACCCGGCTCGCCAAGGGAGTTACCGAACCACCTCTGGGAGTCACCGAGCGACCTCAGGAGTCACCGAGCCACCATAAAGGAGGCGAGCAACTATCGGGCGAGCGGGCGCCTGGGCCGCTGCCTGCAGCCCGGGCCTGGCCCCGCCGGCGCCCCGACGCCCAGCCGAGGCAGCGCCCAGCAGAGCCGGGTCGGCCAGGGCCAGGCTGCTCACCGTGCACAGTGTGCGGAGGGTCTCCCTCGCGGTGACACTCTCCCTCCAGGTCGACGCCGACTTGCGCTGTGCGGGCTTGAAGCCGACGTCCCTGCAGCGGAGACACAGACCGCCTCTGCTGAAAGACCTCACAGACCACCGCGCGTCATGGGCTGCTTAAGGCTTATAAGATGGCGGCGCTGGGGTTTTACGGCAGAAGGAGAAAGCAGACCCTCGACCTCCGGTGCAGTTCTCAGACTTACCCCAACAGACTCCATTGTCGATCAGAACGCTTTCTTCAAAGGAATACAACTGGATACTTTCAATCAACAGTACTTCCTAAAGTGAGAGGTGTGGAGAGGGAGGTGGGTATGGGGAGGTATGCCAACAGCCATTTTATTTTTAGGTACTTATTTTTTATAGCCTATTTTACTTAGATGTATGAAAGATTCACCTCTTAATATAAAATCAACCTTCAAGAAAAAAACCCCCCAAAACCCCAAACCCCCAAATTCCCACAGCGCCAGCTACAAGGAGCCCAGCAGTCCCACTCATCTCTTGGAGAAATAGCTTCAGGGCTTCGGCAATCCAGCCTTACTCTGAGACGTATTGCTTGCCAGCCCCCTTTGAGCTCTCTTTGCTGAAGGAACACAACCCACCCCTGGCAGATTCTCTGCTCAGAGGTCGTGAAATTGTCTAGGATCCTGATGGAGCCGCGAGGAGAGAGCAAGAAAGGATTTGTCTCTTTTCTGTGGACCCTTATAATCTTGAAACTCAGGCAGAAATAGAAGATACAAAGTAATAGAACATTTAGGAAAACTTGGCAATAGCTATGGAAGAGGCTCTGGAAAGTCTGGGCTGAGTAATGATGCTTTGTATTAACTGCAAAGTAAATGGACATCCTGTGAAAGTATTTGTTGACTCAGGTGCCCAGATGATTATTATGAACCAAGCTTGTGCAGAAATCTGTAATATAATGAGGCTGGTGGACTATTGGTGGGCAGGGATGGCAAAGGAATGGGCTCCCAGAAGATTCTTGGAAGGGTGCATCTAGTTCAGGTTCAAAAGGAAGCAGATTTCCTGGCTTGTTCCTTCTCTGTACTTGAGGAAGAGCCTGTAGAAGTGCTCCCAGGACTGGCATGCTGAAATGGCATCAATGTTCCATTGACCTCAAGAAAAATGTACTCATGATGAGCACCACAGGCTCACAGACCATCTTCCTTCCCAAGGAAGAGTTACCAGAGTGTATCCAGTTGCATATGGAGCCAGGTAAGAGGCCAGAGGAGATTGCAGACCAAGAAGCCCTTCAGAAATCTGTATAAGATGCAGAGTGTCAGAAGCCATAATGCATATATATAGTATGTGTGTATCGCAGCTGGAGTGGACCCCAGACCAGAGGAAAAAAGCAGTGAAGGAGCTAACTCACTGGGAATATCATCGTCACCAATTTCAAATGCATTTAACCGTCAAGCCCATCCTTCCCAACAGACTCGTGACTGGTAATTCTTAAGTCTTACTGATTCTGTCTGCTTCAGTATGCCCCCGCTCCCCCCATCAAGCCCAGTGACCCAGACAGCATTGAACCTAAAGTTGTGAAGACATTGAAGGCCTCAGCTGAATTCCAGATAACTTTCAGAAATGAAAGAATATCTTCCTCTATAGGACCTTTCTGATTGTGCTTCTTCAGCAGACAATGCTCCAGCAAACCAGAGTACAGCTATTCCTTTGCAGAATTCACTCAAAGAAGCCGTTGGTGCAGATGACCTAGAGAAATCTGCCAAAAGAAGCATGTGTGTGGTCATTCACTCAGTTGTGTTTGACTTTTTGCGACCCCATGGACTGTAGCCCACCATGCTCCTCTGTCCACCGGATTATCCCATCAGAATACCGGAGTGGGGTTGCCATTTCCTCCTCCAGGTGATCTTCCAGACCTAGATATCGAACCAGCATCTCCTGCAGATTCTTAACCCAGAGCCACCTGGGAAACTGAAAGAAACACCCAGGGCCTCAAATCTCATCTCCACACAAGACGGAAAGCTAGTTTATCTGTCATAACTATTAGGATGCAAGAACTACAGAGGCTTATAGATTAAAACGATTGGCATCCATAAAACGATTGGCATCCAGAATATCAGTACCTGAGTCAAGTAAATAGCCTTCAAAAACATGAAGATCCAGGGAATGAACAGCATGAGGGTACATGACAAAATGCTTCACATGATGGAGAACATCTTTGTAACACAGAAGACCTTGAACTTCTTGAAGAAAGGTAACAGAATCAACAAGAAGTGGTTGATTGGAAACTACAGTGAAAGGAGACAGGATAAGAGAAAAATATTCTACCTTCAGGTAGAATTTGAGCAGCAGGATGCTTTGGCTCCTCAAATTCAAAAACTTTTATGTAAATAGATACAGTAGAACAATCCCTAGTTTCTGTGCTTAATTTAGCAGGCAATCAGAATACTAATGTCAAGAACATTGGTGTATCTGATCTCACCGTAGATAGTCCCTTGATGGAAGTAGAAATGTAACCCTTCCTTTGAAATTTTGAGTAAGTCCATTTCCATCCAGGATGTACAGCTTCTGGAAAATAATGTTGAAATGTCTGGAACAAATGAATATAAGTCTCTTTAAGTCTCTGTGGCAGTTAGCCCTCCGTGGAGTCAACAGAGGAAACTTGCTTATCTATAACAGAAGCCTTGAAGGAAGTTCATGAATTTTTGGTCTTTTGTAGTAAACCAGCTTCAGAAAGTACATCTGAAGATGTTATCTGTCAATCAGAGACAGTAACTGAGGGCCAGACAGGTATTAAAAACCTTTCTGAAAGATGGTCCCCAAGTGAGCATGTTACAGCTACCCAGAGTGAACACAGTCTCACAAGTCTCCTTTCATTAGGCCATATCTGTGAAGACAGAAGAATTAACAGACACTTCAGCTGGAGTAGAAGATGTAGAAAATATTAACTTCAGGGGTCCAGGTGATGACCTGGTAACTGATAAGGAAGGTGTCCCCAAGTCTAGGGAATCGATAAATGAGAGCAGTTCTGTCACTCTAGCCTCAGCTAAAATATCTAATCAACTACACTGCACCTTCAGTATAGAAATTTCACCCAGACTTTTAGCAAGTGAGGAGGATGCCCTCAGTCAAACTTCTGAGCAAACTGAGTCATCGTCATGCAGATTCATATTGGTTAAAGATTAGATCAGGGCACAGAATCCAGTGGCAGACAGGCCTGAGACCAGAGAAAATGTTCTGAAGCTGCAGAGCCACTTCTGCAATTTGAACCTCCTCCCAGCCATCCATCACGTCCCTCCTTTCTTGCACCATTAATTTTTCCTGCTGCAGACATTGACCAAATTCTCTGTGCTGGCTATCTTTTGCAGGAAGTTCTTGGTGCTTTGCACTGTGATGGTGGAAATGCAGACTTTGCACTTCTTGTTTGCTGTCAAAGAGCATTGTAGTTCCTGCATAACCTTGGAAAAGTGAGTTAGACATTACTTCATTCCCTTAAAAAAGCTATAGCACTCACATCCGTACTCACTGTTTATACAGTATATATAAAACCAGCAAACAGAATGTTGAGCCAGATTTTTGAAAAGATTTTCTTTTTTTGGCCGAAGTACTCTATGATTTCTTGTCTTATGAATTTGTCTATTCTATTTGTTAAAATTTGGGTCTTCAAAAATGTATTGGCACTTATGTGCATACAAAAGCTTTTTATTATCATTAAGATGATGTATTCTGGAATCAAATTGATGGTATTATATATTGTCCTTTGCAGGGTAGCACTGTAGTAAAGAATCTGGCTGCCAGTGCAGGAGACACAAGCGATGCAGGTTCGATCCCTGGTTTAGGAAGATTCCTCTGGAGAGGGAAATGGCAACCCACTCCAGTATGCTTGCCTGGAGAATTCCATGGACCATGGAGCCTGGCAAGTTACAGTCCATAGGGTTGCAAAGAGTCAGATATGACTGAACACACACACACACACATATATGTAGCATAAAAAGTAAAAATAAAATAAACCCTACCTTGTCTGAAAAATAATCTTCTACCCAGTGCTCAAGAAACAGATGGACCACCAATAGGAAGTTGAAGCCTATGGGTGAGAAGGGCAGAGAGGTCAAGGGCCCACTATTCTGGTCAGCCTCTAACTATTTTGACTTTGAGCTGTGATTCCTACCTGAACAAGATCTCTCTGTTTAGGGACTTTGTTGGGGGTGGGGGGAAGTCATGGGAAGGGGATGTGCTGGGAAGGATCTAGTCCTCTGAATTTATACAGCTCCAGAGGAGACTTGATTTCATGGCCAGAATGGCAACTAAGGTTTCCGTCTGCCCACAATGCCAGTTGCACGTTTATACCATATTTTTGGTGTCGCTAGTGGTAAATAACCCACCTGCCAATGCAAGTGTAAGAGAGGCAGGTTCCATTCCTGGGTCAGGAAGATCCCCTGGAGGAGGGCACGACAACCCGCTCCAGTATCCTTGCTTGGAGAATCCCGTGGACAGAGGAGTGTGGTGGGCCACATTCCATAGTGTCTCAAAGAGTCGGACACAGTTGGAGTGTCTTATCATGCATGAACCATATTTTTATTTCTCTGATATTCTGGAAAGAACTGAACAAAAGGAAATGGACTTTGTTAGATCTTCATTAGATATATGGGAAAACATTTGCTTCTCACAGTTGGGCTTGTGTTCTTTATTGTTTGTTTCACATACTCTTTCTCAGATCATTCTCTTGGCAGGAAGGACATCCCCTGACTTCAAATCCCACTTACCTGTTGGCCAGAATCCAATCCAAGTGTGTGTCTGTGAATCCAACTACTCAGGCATTCTTAGTGATCTCTCTTTTTCCTACTCAATAAAGAGCTCTAATACCAGAAATACCCAGGAGCTGGAGAGATGCTGTGTGTATATAGAAAAATGTGACACAGCTCATACCTATCAGGGAGCTTCCAGCTTAGTGAAGGAGTTCAGATGCATCAATAGCTTATTATAACACTGCTGTGAGAAAGATGTGCGTGGACAACAATGGAAGCACAAAGGTTGGGCATCTGTACAGACTAGGCTAGGCCAGAGTGTGGTATGGAGTCATGGAAGATTTTCTGGAGGAGGTAATAGCTTTTGTTGAGTTTTGAGATTAACTTGGTATAGACTATCAATGGGGTGGTTTCAGGCAAATCTGTCAAAATCACAGAGTTGTGAGATGGCATGGGAAATCCAGAGAACTTCAGATAGTTCCACAGCCCATAAACAGCCCCTCTCAGCTCACTTTTTCAAAAAAGTTTTTTAAAATTTCTTTTTTGGCTGTGCTAGGTCTTTTTTGCAGTACACAGGCTCCTTTAGTT